GCTCGCAGAGGTGATGACTCTCGGCTTTGACCGTTTCACCTCGTGGGTTATCTGTTACCATCTAGTGGCCCCGGCAGGGACTCTGGAGCCGGCCCGTCCTGTTTCTAACCCTGTCTCTGCCGCAGAGCAGCTGTGTGACCTTAGGCGAGTTGCTTACTGGCTCCGTGTCTCCGGCTCCTCTTCAGGAAAACGGGGACAGTATTAGTACTAAAGTAGAGCTTGTGTGAGGATACACCTACGTGTAGTGTGCAGGTGTGCATGCACGTGTGTGTGTGAACGTACGTGCATGATGTGTGCATGTATGAACGCACACCTAAGCGTGTCCATCTGTATTTGTGTGTATACACGTACACGTACATAGGAATGCACGCATCTGCATGTGTGTATGGAATTTAGTACATCACTTTTTAAAAAAAAATTTTTATTTATGTATTTGAGAACCAGAAAGAGCGAGAGAGCACAGGGGGAGGAGCAGAGTCCACGCTGAGCACAGAGCCTGATGCAGGGCTCGATCCCCCGACTCTAAGATCATGACCTGAGCTGAAATGAAGAGTCAGACGCTTAACCGACTGAGCCACCCAGGCGCCCTTCAATAATGTTTTTAAAGAAGCTCTTTCTGGCCTTTTGGAGTGTGAGAATCTGAGGTAGAAGCTGATCTTTCAAAGGAGTAGTCAGCCTTTGGATCAATATGACCCTGTCTGCATCTTTGGGACCTTCTAGGACCATCACCAGCTGCCTGCCCTCCCCCTTTTCCCATTGCTCCAGGCTGTGGCTTGAGCAGAATTACACCAGGGTTGGCTCTGGAATAATGGCCGTGGGAAGGAGAAGGTGCTCTCATGACCTGGATGGGAGGGCCCTTTCCTTTGGGACAGGAGAGAGCAGAACCTGGAACAAAGTTGCGAATCAGAAGTCAGTCTAAAATGGACACAGGGCCTCAGGCCTTCTTCCTTGAGGAAATTACATAAAAATGAGTATAAAAAGAGACAGAAGGCAGTGTGTCTATCAGAGACAGACAGAGAGGGAGAAGAGCCTACAATCAATATTCCTGTTCTTCCAAATGGATGTAGTACTTACGTTTTGTGCCAGGTGCCATGTCTGCTTTTCCTTTCATCCGCCCTACCTTCTTCTTTCTCTGCGGCGTATTGACAGTGATCAGTGATCATTTCCAGAGTGTCAGCTGCCCACAAATGGAGCTCTGGGAATGGAAGAATTAGCATAAGCCATTTGGAGCTTGGGCTTCAGAGTATCCCCCTCCGTCCCCTTGGGCAAGGCATTGTACCTCTCTGTCTCAGCTTTGTCCTGTGTAAAGTGGAGAGAGGGGCACTGGCTTCCTTCTAGGGGTGCTGGAGAGGGTGGAGTGAGCTAGTCCATGGGACACACCTGTCCTTACCTGGATCCGAGCCTGCACAGAGTACACGCAGCTCAGATGGCTCCTTGTCACAGAAGCCGTTCCTGGCCGTGCGTGCAAAACAGTACCCACCTCACGCCCCATCTCCCATTCCCGTTCTTTCTTGATGGATCTCTGGAGCACTCAGCACCACCTGACCCTCTTGTTTGTTTGTTTGTCGGCTCTCTGCCTCCCCCATCCCTGTTGAGCCCCACACATGAAGAGATTTCTGTTGATTTTGCCCAGTGGTTGTATTCCCTGGAGCACAGGTAGGGACCTAGTAAATATCTCTTGAGTAGATGAGTGTCTATTTTTCAAGATAACGTCCAGGCCCAGACTCAGGCCCAGAGAGGTAAAGTCACTAGCTTAAGACCACCCAGCTACTAGCAGTTGTCGAATCTGGAGCCATATTCTATTCTGTAATTCAAACCGGGATAGCCTCCCTGCTGGTAAAATAAACAAAATAAAAACTAACTGGTGCCCACAGGACGGTGAGGACTCAGGCAAGGTTAAGTCAGAGCCCCTTAGGGCAGCTGTTCCCTGTACCTGCCCCAGCACCTCCATTTGGTTGTACCCCAGCTTTTCTGAGTACTGTTCACCAGGGAGTGTGAACTTGTCAAGAGAAGAAGCCTGCCTAAGAGGCTTCCACGGGGTGGTGGCCCAGGCCTGGTGCAGATGCAGCGCCCGGAGTGAGCACGTGCCCCTTCCTCGAGGGCTGCCGAGTCCGGGTGAAGCGGGCTTGTGTGGAAGGGGTCGGGCACCTCGCGTGGGGTCCGTTTCCAGACTCAGCGGGAGCTTCTGACACTGGCCAGCTTCTCTCCTGGTTGTGCGGGACACCTGCTGTTCTATGTCCCCCAAGCCCGAGGCGGGGTGCAGGGGTCTTGAGGGCAGGAGACTGTCCCTGTTGTGTGGACCTCGTCCCAGTCGGCCTCTAGTAGGTTATACTATTCCCATTTTTAAGACGAGGCCCCTGAAGTTCAGGGAGGTGTAAATCCTGAGCCTGAGATTCAGGCCCGGGTCTGCGACATCCCGAACACCTCGCACCTCTGCTCTGCTTCTCCAATGCTATTATATTTGGATTCTGATTCGTAAGTATTTATTGAGCCATAAGCGTAGGCTGCGTGCTGTGCCTAATTGTGTTTCTTGTTTGCTTCTTACGGTGCTTAAACTTTCTCTAAATGCGGACATTGTGCCTGGAAGAGGTGTGTGAGAGAAGAGAGAGAGAGAGAGAGAAAGATCACTGCCTTTTGATTCTCTGGGTTGTCGAACTAAGCTGTGGGGGAAGGAGCCCGAGTGTTCTGGATCGGGACGGGAGCCCAGCCTCTTAACTGTTGTGTGATCCGTGTCCAGTAACCAGCCTCTCGAAGCCTAAGGTTCCATATTTGTAGAATGGAGCTAGTACCTTACTTGGAGGGGACACTGAGGATTTGAGAAGTTAAATATGAAATACACAACACGCTGCCATAGTGTTGTACCTAAATGTTACTTCTTTGTTTGCCTTGTCTTTGTCCTTTGTCCTTCCTGAGGGTGAAGACCAGGTCTTATTCATCTTGGCATACCTACCTTCTTCTTCTTTTTTTAAAAATTTATTTATTTGAGAGAGAGAGAGAGAGAGCTAGAGAGAGCGCACAAGCAGGCAGAGATGCAGGCAAAGGGAGAGGGAGAAGTAGGCTCCTCACTGAGCAGGGAGCCTGATGCGGAGCTCAATCCCGGGACCCTGGGATCATGACCTGAGCCAAAGGCAGATACCTAACCGACTGACCTACCCCCCCACCCAGTCCAGGCATCCCGCATCCCCACCTTCTAACACAGTTCTTGGTACATGGTGGATGTATGCCCATTGCAGGGTGCATGCATGAATGCATGCAAAACCAAAGTAATGGGCCAGTGGTCTATTGGGGCCACTTCTGGCCAGTTGTTGAGGGACATGTTTCCTGGAGTCTTATCCCCGCTTGTCAGATCCAGGCCAGGACAACGGTATGGTGGTTCCATTGTTCCCAGATAGCATTTCCTATCTTAACGTCTCCCTGGAGCCGCCCTCGGCCCCACCCTGCTCTCCTGGCCTATCACTGATCCCCACTTGGACCCTGACAGGTTCCATTCCAGCCTGCCGCGAAGAGAGCTTTCCTGTGGCCGGCACTGCTCCTTGTCTCCTCCCTACTCTCCGTTACAACAGTTGTGGAAGGGGGCATTTCTCTCTCTCTGGAACTTTCCATGTTGCCTGGAGGACCTAGAAAATGTGAAATAAAAATGCTTTACAGTAGCCTGACCCTTCATAGTGTGACCTGTGTCTTCCTGCGTGCACCTCACAGACCCCTTGTCTGATTGGCAAGGCAGTTCTTATCCCTGGTCTGCCGTGGACAAAGCTGAAGACAAAAAGGATGGGATTGCTAGTAACATCTCTGGTTAGCGAGAGACCTTAACTGGTTACCAGCTCTGTGCACCTAACCAAGGCTTTTTCCATTGCATGTCCCTACATGGTTGTATGTGTTGGTATTCCATGGGTTTGCTTATTTCCAGAAGAGTTTTGACAGCTCTGTCACAATCGTAGTGATCCAGGGCACTTTCGCATTTGCAAGCTCAGTGGGACATCCCAGGAAGAGGTAAGGTGCCCAGGCATTGCCCTGTGCGTGAGGAAGCAGAAACCTAGGGAGCCAGGTGCCTTCTGGAGATTACCCAACTCAGGGTGGCAGCACTTTCCAGAACATCGCCATGTTTCCCTTCCTTGTTCAGTTCGGCCCTTAGATCAGTTGTTCTCAAATGGGGTATAATGCTGGACTCCCCTGAGGAATTTAAAAATCTCGCTGCAGGAATTCCCCATACCTGCCTTTCCCCACCCCACCCCACTCCCCCCCGCCCCAACCCAAAGATTCTGTCTTGGGAATGGGGCTTGAGCATTGAGGTTGTAACATCTCCCCAGATTAATCTTCGATGCAACAGTGTTGAGAGCCACTGTCTTAGATGTCACCTGCTACTGGGATGCTGGGAAGCTCATGAGAAGCCAGCAGTCCTCAAAGTCTATTTCAGACAAGAGCTGCAGCCCTCCTAAAGCAAACCTGGACTGAAACCTGCTCACCTTTGCTCAGATTCAGGGCAGCTCATGTGTCAGAAGAAACGACAGTGCTGAAAGAGGAAACCGGGGCGAAGGGGAAGATGGGAGCAGCACCCCCCCCAGTTGTCACATGTTGTGCCCCTGTCATGCTCCAGACACTGGTGTGAGCGCCTTACATACATCAACTTTATCCAATTCACCATCCGCATACTAGCACTAAGAGAAGCCTCTGCTGCTATTACCCCCATTTCACAGATGGGAAGACTGGACTAGATGAGCCACTTTCACAACCTGGTGGTGGCAGAGCTGGGATTTGAAGACAGATTGCTGGCTCTGGAGGCTACTGGTTTGACCACTATGTCTGTTGCTTTGCAGGATGACCTGGGAACCATGTACACTGGGTCCCCTGTGGCCAAGGGTCCCTTCATGGTGTTGATGAGGCGTAGAGGTAATCTGTCACTCCACTGCTCAGGAGTCTCTCTGACTCCCCATTGCATCTGTAGGGAAAAGTGGAACTTCTTAACATAGCGTGAGGGCTACCCTTTACCGCCTGGCCACTGGCCACTCTTTCACACTCCATGTCACACATGATGTTAAGACATCTGAAAGTCCCCTCCCCTCTCTCTGCCTGGTGACCCCCTACTCTTCAATACCTAGCTCAAATATCCTCTTCTCTAACTTGTGCAAGACACAGTGCCTGCTTCCTCTTTGTTCCCAAAGCTCTTGGTCCCTCCCTCTATGACCACATGGATCACAGCCTTTTTCTCGGGACCCTTGGTGGGTCTTGAATCCTTTAGGACGGGGAGGGGTTCTGCTGTACTCATGTTTGTGCACCCCTCAGCATCCACTGTGGTCTTCAGTGGATACCAACCTCTCCCAGGTAGGATGACCTCCTTTACCTTAGGTTCTTCTTCATTTCAGCCAGGGAGATAAGTGTTCTTTATCTTCTGATTATCAGAGGATTTTGTTTGTAATAGATGCTTTTCTTCAAGGTGCCTCAGGCTCCAAATTGCATAATTGATATTTACTGTGTTTTCCTAGGTTGTCAGGCTGTGATTTTAGCAGAGTCCTGAGCTCCGGTGGAGATTTGCCTCTCTCCAGCCTTGGGCTATCTGCATTTTTGAATATCTCAGGGCCCAGAAGGAAAAGAAGAATGTTGACCAGCTCTAGGAATGGCCTGAATGAAGAGAGGTTGGTGTCTTGCTTAGTGTTCACTTTGATTCCAGAATGAAGTCACCAGGGTCCGGAGGAGGAAGGGGCAGGAAGAGTGGGTTTTTGGCGGCCAAAAGTGAAGTATGTTTGTTTCTTCATGTGCTTTTGTGGAAGTGGCAGTTGCTGCTCACACAGAGTAGTAAGGTCCTTTTAGCAGAGTCCCACCAAGGCCTGAGGAGGGTGGGCATGCAGGGAGCCACCGGCTTGTCGAGGCTCAGTATTGAGACTTTGCTGAATGAGAAGGATAGGAAAAACCGAGTTTATAAGGCACTGGGTGACTTCTAGGAATTTTTCCTTGAGAAACACATACACAGGTGCAGATGGTGTGAATAGCACCTTCAGAAATGGCAAATGATAAGACGATTTATTTATTTTATTGACATCCGATGCCTCGTTTTTGATCAGATTACTGGGTATGTAAAGAAGCAGAAGAGTATGACCCAAACTCAGGGGAAAAGAAAGTCAATAGTAAACAGAATAGAATTGAGCCAGTTGTGACTCACACTTGTGTGATCGATTGGTTTTTATTATTATTAAACAGACTTTATTTTTTGGAGCAGTTGTAGGGTCTCAGAAAAATTGGGTGGAAAATGCAGAGAGCTCTTATATCCACCCTGTCCCCATGTACATACCATCAGCATCCCACACCAGAGTGGGATGCTTGTTACAGTTGACAAGTCTACACTGACGTCATTATCATCCAGAGTCCATAGGATTGTCCCGTGGAAGAGATGGGGGCCCGCCGATGCCCACCCCGCGCCTAGTCCATTAGGATCCATTCCCGGTGTTGTACCTTCTGTGACAAGTGTGCGACAGGTATCTACCGTTGTAGTATCCTATGCAAACTCTGTGCTTCACCTGTCCATGTGTCTTTATGAGACACAGTCTTTTTAAAGCCCCTCAGTTCGGGATTGGTTGATTAAGTCATGATGTGTCCTGAAATGAAATACTATGCAGCTGTTAAAAAGAATGAGTGGCTTGGGGCGCCTGGGGAGCTCAGTCGTTAAGCGTCTGCCTTCGGCTCAGGTCATGATCCCAGAGTCCCGGGATCGAGCCCCGCATCGGGCTCCCTGCTCGGCGGGAAGCCTGCTTCTCCCTCTCCCACTCCCCCTGCTTGTGTTCCCTCTCTCGCTGTGTCTCTCTGTCAAATAAATAAATAAAATCTTTAAAAAGGAAAAAAGAATGAGTGGCTTTATGAAGTAATGTGGAACCATCTTAAAGTGATACTCACTTTCAAAAAGCATTATCAGCCTTAACAGTGTTGCTGAAGCAAGGGGGGCATGGAAGAATGTAGAGTGTGCTGACAGCCACCTCTCCCCAATGAGCCGCCTATCCTTACTGTGCCCACACTTACCACGTTCTGTCGCTCCTGCCTGTCCCCTGACCGGAACACGCCACCCCCCCCGCCCCCCACTCTCTCCCTTGAATTTCTGTGCCCGCCAGGCTTCCTCTTCATTCCAGGTTGTAGAGACCCAGCGAGGGGGAGAGGCTTGCCGTGGACCTTTGAGACGGTGATGAGTAGCTGACCCTGTCAGTTAAGTTGGGCACATTGGACCCCGTTGATTAATTTAGTCCCAGCAGCTGCACACTGGTGAGTCAGGCCTGTTGGGGTCCAAGTCTGAGCTCTTGCTTGGCTGCCTGTGTGACCTTGGCCAGGTTACTTAACCTTGCTGAATCTCAATTTCCCGATCTGCAAAAGGAGGCTAAAAATGCTCTTGAGGTTGTCTTGAGGATTAGCTGTGATAGCTAGCTTAAGTGAAAGTGCCCTTTGAGGGAAGACCAGGGGAAAGTGTTTATCCTGTCGGGAGGAAAGCGAGGAGGGCCCCCTGTTGTCCTCAGGTGCCCCAGCCTTCCCCTTGAAAATCCCCATGCAAGTCGGAGAGGTTATAATTTGGCTCCTTCCTCTTTTATTCAGTGTACTTCTCTCGGCCGCCCAGGGCTTTCAGCTTAAGCAAATAAATTATCCTGCTCTGCTGGGCTCTGTGTTCTGTAGCCAGCCATATGTTTGAGCTTGATAGAGATTCTTATCGGGCGGGTAATATTACCCAGCAAGGGATGACATTTCTTATCAGAGGCCCTGAGGAATCAGAGATAGGAGCCCTTTCTTTTTACCGGCAGCCAGGCCTCAGTGTGCGGGGCTGGCAGGCAGGCTGGGGGCGGGCCAGGGTGCAGGGTGGGCATCGGCGGGCCCCCATCTCTTCCACGGGACAACCAGCTGCGCCCAGCCTTCCCCTGCGGCGTTGGAAGCAGGCCCTTGGGAGATTTTTGCATATGATCGAGGTGGGGCAGGGCAGGGGGTGTGAATGCGGAAGGAAGGAGGGGATGTGAAGATGCTGGATCAGTTGTGGGTGGAGACAGTCCTGGCACGTGTGGGGCCTTACCCTTGACAGAGAGCCAGGTGGCCTCCTGCTGCAGAGCCCAGGCCTGGGGCCTCTGCCCCAGGGTTCTGCAGAGGGGAGGCAGCTCAGGCCCAAGTACCCACCACAGTCTTGGCTGTGGGAGTGGCGAGGTGCTGGGTGATCTCCCTGTCCCCCTTCAGATCCCCCCCACCCCGTCCACCCTGTCCTGTGACGGGGAGGCTGTCCTGTGTGGGTGCCAGAGGATGGATGCCGCACGGGGCTCCTGGGCCCTCTGGCTTCTGTTTGGGAGGTGGGGCGGGTGGGCAGGAAGGGAGGAAGGTCGGGGTATTCGTTCGCCGCCTCCTGCTGGGTCCCACATGGATACAGGCAAGGTCTACACCGAAGGCCTTGCGTCTGATTCCTGATTCTGGCAAGTACTCACTGTGTGATACTAGACAAGTTATTTGCCTCTTGTGCGTGGGTTTCTACCCATAGCATGGGGTGACACCGCCTTTCTTGCTGTCTCTGGCCACTGACCCTTGGATCTCCGTGATTTCTGTGCCTCTCTTTTGCCTTGATATCTGGAGGAAGGGGCACTGCGGGGTCTCCGAGGGCCCGAGTGCAGAGCACACTGCAGATGAAGCTCCAGGGTGGGTAGAAGAGGTCAGAGGTGACCACATGATTTGGGGACTGCAGCCTCTGTTTCGGACACATGCACAGAACTCTTCCCCTCCCGATTTTTGGGAAGTCCTGCCCTCTGCAGCCCTGCTGTGCAGTCATAATCTTGCCATCATCAGAAAGGGAAGGAGAAGTGGTTTCTCCCTCTCCCTGGACCCTTTCCAGCCAGCAGTCCTGCCTCTGCTTCGCTTCCTTCCTGTTGGCCCCAAGTCCTGCTTCCTTCCGTCTCTCCCCCGCCTCTCCAGTCCCGCCCTCTGGTGGGCCGTGCTGAGGTTCCAGTCTCTCTCCTCACCTCCTGATGGCCAAGTCCAGATTCCGAAAGCACAGCTCTGTCCTTGGCCCTCCGATCAAAGGTGGTCAGACCTCCTAGCATCTATTAAAGCCCATCACTGTCACCCCACCCTATGATTCCATGCTCATCACCTCATGACAGACGCCTCTCATGCGGGGTTCATCTCCGTCTTTTGAACTGACCACTATCTTTCTTTGACTTTTGTACCTGATCCTGTCGTGCCTCCTTCTGAGGGGACCACAGACAGGGCTGGGTTCGTCCCCAGCTCTACCCGCTCCTGGCTCTGTGATGGTGGGCCAGTCACTGAACCAGGCTGCACCTCAGTGTCCTCAACTGTGATGTGGGTCGTGAGGTCCGGCTCCAGGGTTCTTCGGAGAAGAGTCTCTCTGGGGCTTGCCCAATGACGGGTGTTCAGTGAGTGAGGGGGTCCCCTCTCTCTAACTGGCCGCCCCTCAGATTACCCAAACCCTGCCTCTGCTCAAATTCCATTCCATCATTCGCTTTCCCTCTGGGCTCTTCTGCCTGGAAGTCAACTGCTCCGTCGGAAAGACGCCGTCTGAATGCCTCCTGGAGGGCCAGTCGGAACAGGCCTTGTGTCTTTCTGCTTGTGTCTGGCTTCCCAGCCTGCTCCTCTAGGGCATCGGCTACAGTATGTCATGCTTCTCAGCATGGCCCTTGATTCGGTGATTGAGTAGTTGACTCCAAGGGAATGGAGGAGAGTCATTTGTTCTTTCATACCACATTTGACTGAATGCACGTCTTGTAGTCGGTCTGTGCTGGGCACTGGAGTTGGAAGGAGGCGTAAAATGGGGACTGTCCTTACAGAGCCAGTCCTCCAGTGAGAAGGTTGCCCTACCGAGAGTCTGTGCCAGGCACGGACTGCAGACCTGGTGGGACATGGTCCCTTCCCATAGGCAGCTCAGAACCTGGTGTGGGTTGGGGAGTGTGGGAGGAGTTCCGTGCCCAAGGAGAGGATGCCTCCCTCAGGCGGATGCCCCTGTCCCCTCACATCAGAGCACGGCGTCCCCTCTCGAGATGCCACGAGTGGCCTCGTCAAGATGGAGCATATCCAATCTGCAGATGCTCCCCACCATGGCCTCCCTTCCCATGGAGGGGGTCAGCTCCAAGGTCAGCAGCACCTTTCATCATGGACCTGGCACAGGCCTTGTTAGGTGAACTCCTCTAAGAGGGGTGTTCTAGAACGTTCCAATCTGGCTGATCATGATGGTGCCTTGAGTACTCATGACAGCTTGTCCCTGGCCAGGGCAGGGGGAGGGAGCCAGCCAGCTGACAGTTCTGGTTGACTTGTGGTTTCTCTCCTCGTGAGCCTCCAGCATCTGGGGTTTCAGTTGAGTTTATTTTCCATCCACCACCAGCCCTCCTACCCAAATCATCCTCATCTCCCCCATAGCTCATGGCAAGAGCTTCCCAATTTGACTCCCTGGATCCATCCTTGCCCCCTGCAATCCCATCTGCACTTGGCAGCCAGCACGATCTTTACAAAATGTGAATCAAATTGTGTCTGCCCTACCAAACATACCAAGGATTTCCCATTTCTGTTCTTGGGATAAAACTCAAAATCCCCCACTGGGCTCTGCATGAATTGGCATGGATGTCTTTCCTCACTCACTCTTCTTCAGCTACACTGACCTCTGCTGAGTGATACACCCTATTCCTGCCCACCTCAGGGCCTTTGCACATGCTGTGTCTTTGCTTGGAGTGCTCGTTCTCTCCATTTTTGCATGGTGCATGCTTTCTCACCCTTCACTCCCACTGTTCTTTGCTTTTCCTTCCTAGCCGGGTCTATCCTGACACATTTATTTCACATCCGTTTTCCTTCATGAGATTGCACTCCTGTAAGGGCAAAGACGAGGTCCATTTCATCTACCACAGTAAGAACAATGAAAGCTAGTGCTTTGATCACACTGACCATGTGCGAGGCATGGTTCCAAGTGTGGAGTTTACCCAACCACTTAATCCTCCTGAGACCCTATTGAGACATAGGTGCTGACATTGCCTTCATTTTACAAACGAATAAACCAAGGCACAGAGAGGTTAAGCAATGTGGCCCAGCTGCCCCATCCAGCAGATGTTAAAGCCAGAACTGAAAACCACACTGGCCCACACCAGGGTCCATGCTCTTAACCCCTCTGGCAGAGCCTACTACTAGCGCTTCCCCAGAGGGGATGCTCAGTGAATGGGTGGTGCGTGAATCGAAGGGCCACTGTCCCCTCTCTCAGGGAGGTCCTCGCTGCAGCTTCTGTACTGGGTCCAGGGCTGGCGGCACGGTCAGGAGGAGGGGACCTGAAATGAGCCCAGCAGACCTGGACTGCCGTCAGGGTCCCTCTGTATTCACTCACCGGTGACTGTGGAAAGCCCTTCACTTCCCTAAGGCGGGATGTTCTTAGCTCCGGCGGGAGCAGGGCTGTTGGAATTGCATGGCGGTGCAGGAGAATCTGGGAGGTGAGCGAGGGCTCATAGCGTGTACCCACAAAGTGTCCACTGCCCTTGCCCTCCTAGGGGGCTTCTCGTCTCTGGGGAGAGTGCCTCACACCCCCTTTCAGGTGGAAGTAGCTGGGGGGGATGGCCCTGGCTGGGTGACAAGGATTAGGGACAGACACAGCTTCTGTAGGACACAGAGGGTGGTCCCCACGCCTCCTCTCATCCTTAGTATGCCCTTTCCATAAAGTGGAGTGTTCGCTGACTTCAGTTGCAGGGCCAAGTGTGGTGGGCTTCTGGTGACCCCCCTCCCCCTTGCCCATGCCACAAGGTTGAAGCGCCCCCAAGAGCATCCTGAGTCTCTGGACATGATGGTGAGGAGCTGCCACCTTCACCCTGTGACCCCAGATGCCCAGAAACATCGGTGTGACTTTCTAATCCTTTGAACCGGTGCCTTCAAATAAAATTTCTCTGTAATGTTGAATTCTGAGCATCGCTTTGCTCTTTTCCTCTCTTCTGACCCCCCCCCCCTTCCTGCATCCTCTCTCCGGGCTCATGAATAATCCCGCCTTACTCCCTGCTTCCCCTCCTCCCACATTATATGGCTATCCCTTTCTGTCGGCATCTCTCACCGCCCCTTTACCTTGTTCTGGCCTTCAGATACACAGCTTTCAAAGGAACCCACATGCCGGCTTCTTGCAAACTGGCCTGCCAAGCAGCTGATCCAGCCCCGCCAAGGCAGGAGGAGAAGGACATTTGGTCCTGTGACAGCCGTGGACAGCTGGCTCATCCTGGATGCTGGTCTCCCTGTGCACCTCATCCCTGGAAGGTGCTTTGGCCCCAGGCCTGGGCCTGACAGCAGGGCCTCGCTGATGAGAGCAACAGCTCAGCCTGGCTCCACTTTTGATGAGCAACCTCTCGCAGTGTCTTCCTCTTCTTTCTGGAGATCACTGCAGTGCCTTCCCCCACCCCCCGCCCCTGAGGGCACCCCTTCCTGCCCCAGAGACTGTGACATTTAGACCCATGGTGTCCTAGCTCCCCCACTTTGTAGGTGTAGGTCCCTGACCCGTGTTCGGAAGCCAGATCAGATTTTGATCCTGGCTGCATTATTGACTAGCAGTGGGATGCTGGATTAGCCTCTGTGCCTTGGTTTCCTCCTTTCCAAACTGGAATGCTGACAGTAGGGTCTTTCTGTGGTAGACGGAACTATCAGTCCCAGTTCTTCCCTCCCCCATCATCAAATTAACACGTGCACACTGTGGCCGTGGCCTCCAGGTGGGCAGGTGCACTCCTCCCCGCGGTGACGTCCATCTCGGCCACACGACTTGTTTTGGTCCATGGGGTGTTAGCAGCGTAACGGGAGTGGAAGGCGCAAATTGGACGAGGTTGGGCTTCTTTGCTTGCCTACCTTTCATGGTGACAACATGCCCTGGACAGCCTCCAGTCTGCAGAGGAGAAGAGACACGGAGCAGATTCCGAATTGACACCTCTGTGGAGCTGAGCTCGGACATGCCCTCCTGGTACCAGCCGGCCCCTAGCTGATGGCAGAGACGTGAGTGAGAGGTGAGTGCTTGTTGTCGTTTGCCCGTTTTGTTACACGGCATTCCTGTAGCCATAGTGGTACCGTTACATCGCTTCATAGGGTTATTGTAAGAACTTTAATTAACTGAGTGAGTTGGTTCACGTATTTGGTTTCCTTTGCTCAGTGTCCTCAGGCAACACGGTATATTATCTTACAATTCCGTAGGTGAGAAGTCCAACACGGGTCTCACTGGGTTAAAATCAAGGAACACAGGGCTGCCGCCTCCTCATGGCTCCAGGGGAGAAGTGTTTTCTTGCTGCTCCCAGCTTCTAGAAGCCCCTGCATTCATTCCCTGGCTAGTGTCCCCTTCCTCCATCTTCAGAGCCAGCAACCTAACACCTGTCTATGCCTTTCTTCCACAGTCACGTCCAACTCTGATTCTGCCTTCCGCCTCCCTCTCCCGTTTTTGGATGCTTCTGATTACATTGGGCCCACAGAAATAGTCCAGGATAATCTTTCTATTTTAACATTTGCACATATTCACCTTCTTCTCATCTGCCACTTGAATGCGCCTTTGCCATGCCACCTAAATAGATTAGGGCGTGGACCTCCACAGGTGCTGGTTACTCTGCAAACCACTGCACGTCAGGCATTTAGAATGGGGCTTTGCGTGCACCGAGTACTTCATATCCACTGGTTCGATTGTCGGCCTTAGCGTTCCCATTCATGAGATGAGATGAGAGGTGGTCCCATCTGATGTCCACACGGGCTCCTCAGACAGGCTTTGTTGTGCTGGACATGGAGAAATATTCCATCCCTTGGTCCTAGATGGACTGGAGACAGGGGGTTTATGAGACAGGAAGGGGGTGAGGTCAGTTTCCTAACTGGCTTTGGAGCAACCCAGAGGTTCTTCAGGATGATGCTAATGCTCCTGATTAATTATCACAGCAAGTCTCCTGCTGTCCTCACTGCCCATCAGCCTTGCCCCCCAGCTCAGGCCTGGCTGAGTGACCAGGTGTGCCTACCTGGTTCCATCCTTGCACTTGGCAGGTCCTGATCTTCCCACATACGATGGATTGCAGGGAAAAAGAAACTTCCTGGCCTGCCGGATACCAACTTGAAGGAAGTAGCTGGCTTTGGTGGGGACAAGGAAACAGACCCCCAATGACAGCAATAGCCTCTCACCAGGCTTCTGCGTTAACGGAGGAGCTGCTGGGTGGCTGTGGGACACGTTGGAGGTGTCGGCTGCATGTGAGTTCCTACAAAAGGGGAGTTAGAATTCAGTATGTGAGAACAGAGTGGGAACAGTGTGGGACTAACCAATAGGAGAGAAGCCCAGGTCTGGGGGTTGCGTGTGGCTGCGTTCCCCAGCGGAGCTCTGTGAGGCTTCCCGCACACAGCTGGGGCCTCAGCTGGGATGACTGGGGCAGCAGCTGGGGCCTCTCCTTTTCTCTGAGATCTTGTCATCGTAGTCCAGCCTGATCTTCTTCACACCGTGGCGGCTGGATCCCCGCAGTGCCTCGTGTGAAGGCTGCCCGGCCTCCCGGGGGCAAGACGCAGAGTTCCCACGACCTCACTCCCTTCCCATTCTCCTTCTCAGGGGGCACAGGTCGGCCCCAATTCGGGGGCAGGAGAAAGGCACCCCCGCGTGGGGTCGGGGGGGGACAACACGCGTGTACAGGAATGGGAGGAATTCTCGGCCATCCTCCCTGGACACAGCCAACCCCAGGGCACAAGTGGCTCGCAGAGGTGATGACTCTCGGCTTTGACCGTTTCACCTTGTGGGTTATCTGTTACCATCTAGTGGCCCCGGCAGGGACTCTGGAGCCGGCCCATCCTGTTTCTAACCCTGTCTCTGCCGCAGAGCAGCTGTGTGACCTTAGGCGAGTTGCTTACTGGCTCCGTGTCTCCGGCTCCTCTTCAGGAAAACGGGGACAGTATTAGTACTAAAGTAGAGCTTGTGTGAGGATACACCTACGTGTAGTGTGCAGGTGTGCATGCACGTGTGTGTGTGAACGTACGTGCATGATGTGTGCATGTATGAACGCACACCTAAGCGTGTCCATCTGTATTTGTGTGTATACACGTACACGTACATAGGAATGCACGCATCTGCATGTGTGTATGGAATTTAGTACATCACTTTTTAAAAAAAAAATTTTATTTATGTATTTGAGAACCAGAAAGAGCGAGAGAGCACAGGGGGAGGAGCAGAGTCCACGCTGAGCACAGAGCCTGATGCAGGGCTCGATCCCCTGACTCTAAGATCATGACCTGAGCTGAAATGAAGAGTCAGACGCTTAACCGACTGAGCCACCCAGGCGCCCCGAGTACATCGCTTCCGAGGCCATTTCCCTGTGCGTATATGTTTGCAGCCTGCCTTGCCCTGGGTCCGGGTCATGTTTTCCAGACAGTTTTAAAGTTGGATGTGAGAGTTGGTGCCCAGCTGGAATCTGGACTGAGCCCTTCCCAGGCCCACGCCTGGTGCCTTCACCGCAGGAGCGGTTCCCTAGACTGTCCTTGAGAAATAGCAGAGTGTCGTGGGTCCTGGTGAAATATGGACCCTCCTCGGCCCCGTCCCAGTTCTGCTGGCCCAGTTGCTCTGGGGTGATCTGCTTGGGGACCACAGTGTGCCACTTCTGGAGGCTGGTCTCCCACCTGCCACCTTCGTTCTCTGATTAGAGTCGCTTTCCTGTTTCCTTCCAGAAAAACCCAGTACGTTCTACTCACACACAGTCAGGATCTCAGAGGGGCGCAAAGCACAGGGCTGGTTTTGTATTTGGAGTTTCAGTCTAATTTAACTTTCCCACATCACCGAGAAAGACATGGTCTCCTTGCCTCACCTTTTCCAGGCTGTGCCAAGGTCAGGGCCTGGGCCTCCATCCCTCCTTTCCGTAATGAGCTGATTTCCCCCAAGGTACAGCTTCTGGGCAATGTGACCCCGTTGCTTTGTTCCCTGAGTCTTCCCACTAGGGGAAAAAAAAAAAACAACAACTGTCATTTATGGAATATCTATGCTTTATACATATGTTGCTCTAATTATTACCCTGCAGGAAAGATATTATTATCCCAAAGCTAGGAGATAATAAACAATTTACAAAAGGAGCCAGCATTTAAACCTTTGTCCGCCCAACTGGAAAGCCTTTTCTCTTTCCTATACCAGAGGTGAGATATGTAGGATTTCTTTTCAAGGCCATAGGTCCTAAATACTTCTCCCTAATGAATGTCAACAAAATCTTGCAGAGAGAGTGTTTCCAATGTAAAACGTACAGACTGTCCTCGGGGTTACAAACACTGTGTTCCAGAGAGTCAGGCTCTGCCCTGGTGCTGGCTGAGTTGGAAGGCACAGAAGGGGGAAGGCCAGCCACACTCCTCACTGCCTTTTTCTGTGGAGTCTTTCCCTTGTAAACATGTTTTCTTCCCCATCCTTTGGCATCCATTGTGATTGAAATTCCAGGTTGTCAACCCTTGTGGAAAAGGGGTTCAGATCTTGCGCTTTACCGGTCAGGTGGCTTTGTGGAGTATTGAACTCCTGTCCGGCCACCGGCTGTCCTTCGTTTCTTTTCACAAAGCACTGAGTATCTATTCCAGAAACATCGCCAAGTCCAAACACACAAGAAGAGGAAGCTACAAACACTTCTGTTATCCTTCAGAGGTGACTGATTGAAAGGACTGCTGTCTGTGCATATGCATCCTCATCATAGTACGATGGTGCACCTGTTGGTTTGCACGGAGCTGTTTTAATAAATACACGATAGCCAGCCTTCCACGTCGGCATGCACACTTCTGCTCCCTCACCATCTGATTGCTGGGACACGCAGCTTTGCCATTGTTCACACAGAAGGGGCAAAGGCTCCCCCAATTTTTCTTAAGTGTCTGGGGCACTTACGAATTCAACACTGTACTATTACAAACAGTGCTTCCGTGGATATTCTCATGGTCAAATCTTCGCAACTGTATTTTCCTATTTTATGAGGATATATTCCCATAAAATAGAATAGGTTATTTCGCTTGCTGCAGGCCCTTTGGGAAGTTTGGACTGGTTTCTCCACCACCGCATCTGACACTGTCACGTCTCCGAGCCCTCCGCAACAGGGAGCCAGGGCGGACGTGCCTTTTCTAGCTGCTTCTCTTTGACACTTGGCACAGCACCAGACACATGGCCGCTGTTCCCAACCTACATGTCCCTTCACCGGAGGACCTCCCTCGCCGTCGGCTGTGTAATACCCTTGTTCCTCCTTGCAGCCCTTGCTTTCTGTAACAAATGTCTCAAATTAATTAAATCATGATTTGTGGTGTTTGGAGTGGAGCCTGAGTGGGTCTGGTTCCCTGTTGTGTCCTGGCAGCGGGCACGGTAGTTTTTAACGGTCACAAGCAAGAGCTCACGATAGAAAGACCTGGATTTACGACAACGCTGTCCCTCTAGCTGACCTAGGTCTTTGCTTTCTCATCTGCGCCATCAGGTTACCTGCCTCACACAATCAAGGTGAGGTTTAAATGAGATGCAGTGCATGGAGGGTGCAGCATGCGATGTAACACATGGCAGAGGCTCAGCTCTTGTTGCCTGGGGCCGTGGTTCGGGGGTGGTGCGTGCTTCCCATGCGCCAGGCTCTGTTCTAGGTGCTTTCCTTCGGGGGGTGGCAAACTGCAGCGCAGGGGCCAGAACTGGCCCGCCATCTTTTTTTGTACAGCCCGTGAGCTACAAATGGCTTTTCCATTTCTAAACGGCTGACAAAAAAAATCAAAAGAAGGATCGTATTTTCTGACACATGAGAACTGTATGAAATCGGACGTCATTGTGCTTAAAGTTTTATTGGAACACAGCATGCCCTTTCTTTTAGGTATTGTCTGTGGTGGCTTTGACGCTCTGATCGTGAAGATGAGGAGCTGGTGCAGAGATGGTATGGTCCCGCAGTGCCCCCAAATATTCACTGGCCCCTCAGTTTGCCGAGCCTCTTATGAACCCATCTAGTCCTGCACAGGGCAGGCTGGTAACTGCCTCCATCCTCACTGTACACATGGGCAAGTGAGGTTAAGAAAGTGCCTGAAGTCATTCACAGCTTGTAGGTGGTAGAGCAGGGGTTTGGTTCCCGGAGCTGGGGCTCCTGATGGTTCCACCATAGGGCAGGTTCTTGGTCTTTGCAGGTGAGGGACATGAGGCAGGAAGAGGTGAAGGCATGCCGTCGTGAGTGGTAGTCAGGACTGAGAACCAGCCCCATTGGACCTCACAGTTCTTGACCTTTCTCTCATAATGAGCTCATACCTTCCCCACCCACCACCGTCTCCTGGTGTCACCTGCTAAACACACGACCAGACGTACAGAGACATTCAAGATGTCCCTAAAAATGTAGTCCCTTGAGAGCAGGGAGATAATACGACAAGACTAGATACGGTTATGTGCTTTCTACTAAATACAGACTTAGTAAGTGTTGGTGGAATGAGTGAATGAATCTGGTGAATAGCTCCTGGACTCTTCAGAATTTAGACTCTGGAGATAGGACAGGAACCCCTGGGAAATGCAGTAAGCGCCAGGACATTCTCATGGGAAGGAGACCTTCCTGGACCATAGTGATGCTCCCCAGGTGGCACAGGGTCCTTGGGCTACAGTGCCAAACACTTCTGTCAAAATCCCGCTGGAGGAAAACTGCTGTCTTTCTCATGTATCCTAACTGGTTCCACTTGGGTTGGTTCTGAATGTTTGGTTTCTTTCAACAGCTTTGCTGAGATAAAATTCACATATCATACAATTTACCAATCTTAGAGCATTTTGACCACCTCAGAAAGCAAATCTGTCCCCATCAGCTATCACCTCCCTCTCCCCCTTTCCCCTGCCCCTCCAGTCCTGAGCAACCTAGAATTTCTGTCACAGTGGATTGGCCTGTTCTGACGTTTCACACAAATGGAATCATACAATATGTGGTCGTCTGCGACTGGCTTCTTTCACTTAGCATGACGTCTTCAAGGTTCATCCACTTTGTAGTGTGTTTCTGTACTTCATTCCTTTCTGTGCCTTAGTAATATTCCATTGTGTGAATGGACCGCATTTCTTTTGTTCTTTCATCAGTGGATGGACATTGGGTTGTTTCCAGTTTGGGGTTATTATGAATGATAGAAGATTCCCATACAAAATTTTGAGTGGATGTGTGTTTGCATTTCCTGGAGTATATATACCTAGGAGTGGAATGGTGGGTCACGTGGTAACTCTCTCTGCAACTTTTTGAGGGGCTGCCAGACTATTTTCCAAAGCACCTACACTGGTTTTCATGCCCACTAGGAACCCCGTGTTCTTGCTCATCATTCTTGCCCGTCTTTACACATCACAAGATTCCATTTATATGAACTTCTGGAACACACAAAATTAATGAATGGTGCTAGAAATCACTACAGTGGTTTCCTTTTGGAGGAGGGCAGCGGCGATTGGAAAAGGCACAGGGAACTTTCTGGGTGAGGGAAATGTTTTGTGTCTTGGTGGTTTAGTGTTTTTGGTACATGCATTTGTCAAAGCTCATCAAACTGTTCATTAAAGATCTGGACATTTCACTGTGTTAATTAAGCCTGAATCTTAAAAAATAAAAAACAACATACAAATGAAAAAAAGCATAGGCGGAGGGGGAAAAAGAAAAGAATATAAGTTATCTCCAGGCATGACTTATCTCACCCACCTTCCCCTGGACAGAGGGCCGGTACCTGGCAGGCAAGGCCAAGTGTGAGAGGCTTTTAATTGATGTGATTAACAGTGTCTCTATAGGGAGCCTCGTTAACACCGAAAGGGAGGAAAGGAGGTTATTTTTCACTCACCTAACTAGGGGAAGACTGGAAGGGAGTCCTGGGGGGTGCTTGGAGGCCTGGTCCTTGCAGTGGGGGACGGGCAATGGGAGGGTCTGTGTCAGGCCCTTCTGAATAGTAGAGCTGCATTTCCCTTGGCATTAAGATATTTTTTGGGTGGGGCAGGGCATCATTTTCTCGGTTGTTGCAACACCTATTCTCCATTTTCATCTATGGAGAGGAGAAAACCAACCTGAATTTTTGGGGGGTGGGGTGGAGTACGTTTTTCAAAGCCGCATCATCCACCAGAGCACAGATCTGTTTAGATAGAATACTCTTTAACCCTTCCTTAAATGCACTAGTGGGTGATGATCAGACAATAACAGGAAACACACAAAAAAGTGAAAGGTTTTATCTCCGCCTTAAACTCTTCAGAGAAATTTATGGATGGACATAAGCGCACAGAAGATCAGGATTGGACAGACATTGTTAATTCCCACATTAAAAATCAGCAGTATGAAATTTTTAATAAAGTTGCAAAAATTGTATCATTTTATTTGTAGGCTAGATACATATGTGTGTATATATATATACACACATATAGAATAAAAGCCTAGACATATAAACACCATTATTTCTTGGAGGATGTGATTATAATGTGATTTTTTTCTATTGCTTATCTGTGATTTATTTTTTCCAATGACCGTTTATTGCTTGTGAATTCAGTTGTTTGTTAAGGAGTTATTTTGGTTCTCTCCCTGGTTGGAGAGGTCAGTTTCCGTAGGCTCGCCTCTCCGGAAAAGACTCTCCCCTCCCCACCCCCATGCTTCCTGGGTCTGAACTTCAAGGCAGCACTGTGTAAGTTTCGAACACGAACTTCAGTGTCAGCCAGTTCAGAGTTCAGTCTCAATAGGATTGTGGGCAAGTCTGTGTCTTGGTTTCGTCATCAGAAGGACGGAACTGATAATACTCTCCCCGATTGATCGAGTGGTGTGAAACATACACGGGAAACCCCCAGCACAGTACTTGGCCCTTCGCATCAGCTCACTACTCTTTCAGCCCCCTTTTAGCAATGGTACCTTCCTGGTACCTTGGAAACTAGCCCTCGGGGGGTCCAAGTGACTCTTGATTGCCGAGCTCCAGCCCTCAAATCATTGCAGAAGCTTATATACACCTGCACACCATGCGTGTGTGTGTGTGTGTGTGTGTGTGTGTGCGCGCGCGCGGGCAGGCTCATCAGCAGCACTTCTGTGTGTGTAGTGCGACATTAAACAGAACCTCCTTCCCTGTGGATGAATGAGGACAGCTCGCTGCGGGGGCTAGGATTTGTCACAAACCAAAGGTAGAACTAGCTGCAGCAAACCTCTGGGTGACCATGCTATCTATGTTCCTTCCTGCAGCACGATTCCTGGCAGTGGTGGCCTCAGTCTGCAAACAGCCTGCCCAACACGTTGGAAACCTTCTCTTCTACAGATCAGGCTAGAGAACGTAATCCCAGGTGGAGTGTCGTTATCATTTTTCCAGGGCTGGGGGAAGGGTTCAGCAGAGGGTGAGTCAGGGTGTTACAAATTTATGTTTATGGTGGTGGAACACGCAGGGCACACATGGGCAAAAGCGATTTGCATTCATGCAAAACAGGAGGCACGTGCTGTCATTTGCGTCCCCTCCCCTTCCTTGGTCACCTCTACAACCCCCCTCTGGCTTCAGAATACCTGCCCAGCCCCTTTTCTCGGCTTCTTTTTCTGGCAGTGGTTTTCAAACTTCAGTTTGCAAATGACCACCTGGGAAACTCAGTAAAATGCAGATCCCTGGGCTTTTCTAATTCAGTGGCTCTGGGGTGGAGCCTGGGAAATGGCATTTTCACCGGACATCTTAGACAGGTCCGTTTGACCAGAAAGACACTATGTATTAGTTTCAAAATATGAAGACAGTGCTGCAAAATGGAAATTGTGATACATATTTATACAGCTTTATATGGACTCTTCAAATGCAGCTCCACTTTGGCAGTTAGGTGGGAATTATTTTTTGTGGAGGAGCCAGGTGGGGTAAACATATCTGATAGCTGTCTGTGGGGCCCACAAAAGCCTTGAAGGAGCTCCACCCCCGTGAGCCTGAGCAATGAAGCCTAGCTGATGTCGTGTTCCTTGTATTTTCGATCCGGAAGGGCCCTTAGAAATGTTCTTCTTCAGTGCCCAGGTTTGACTGTCAGAGAAACCGAGGCCTAGAGGGAGAAGGACTCGCCCTCGGCCGCGCAGCAAGTTCCAGAAGAGGCCACATTAGAGGGTTCAGGGGCGCAGGACCTCGCCCCCCGCAGTCTCTCCCCATGTCTCTTTCACTCTGGCTTTGGTACCTGTGTCCTCGGGCCACCCCGAGGCCCAGCCTGGAGCCCTGAGTGGGGTCAGGGGCGCCGGACGCAGGGGAGTCTGTGTGGAAACCGCTGACTGGCATCCCACATGACGAGGCCAGGCTTTAGCATAATGCCCTGCAGAGAAAGAAGGGCTGAGTCCCCCGCTGGACCCTGATGCTTGGAGAGCTGGCAGGCCTCTCGGCACATGTCATGTGCCAGGTGCTGGGCGTTCTGCAGGGAAGGCAGAAGCGAATAAGAGCCCCTGCCCTCACAGAACTTCCAAGTCTCTGCTCCCCGATTCCTTACCTGCCGGGCGCCCTCCCGTGAGCCTGACCCTCCGACCAAGGCAAACCCGAAGGAGAGGTTCCGGTCAGGGAGACGGGCAATACGCAGGATGACCGATCCATACACAGTTAGGGTCTGTCAGAGAGTTCCAGGCGCTGGGGAGGAAGCCAGACAAGATAAGGGGAGGGCGAGCGGATGGGTGCAGGCAGGCCCTGTGGCGGGGTGGCCCTGACTCTGCGTGGCCTTTCCCCTGCGTGTCCACCGTCTCGGCAGCCCCCCGATCTAGGAGGCCAGTGCCGTATTGAGAAGTAGGTGGTCTGTGGGTTGAGGGGCCTGTGGCTTGTGGGAGTTCCAACGCCCTTGTGCATAGATGGGCCGTGTTAACATCATCGCTGGCATTTCCTGGCCCTGACTCTGTGCTGGGAGCGCTGCAAGGGCTTTCCATGCATTTCCTCCCTCAGTTGTGGCAGCGAGGTTGGGGGTGCTGTTAGTGTCCTGGTGGTGTCTGGGTGAGGGACTTGAGGCATAGGAAAGTGAGTAACTTGCTCAAGATCACATGGCTCAGGAATGTGGAGCCAGAATGCACCCCCAGGGCAGTTGGCCCCTAGAACCCTCATGCTTAACTGCTGTGCCTTCAGGGCCCCGGCATGGCCACCTTCCTTTCTGGTCATTGTGGCGCTCAGGGAGAGCATGGGCTGTGGAGTCAGGCCCACCCCTTCCTGGCTGGGCACCTCAACCCCTTTGAGCCTCGAATTGCTCATCGGTAAAATGGGCATGAGGATACCTGCCGCCTCACAGGATTGATAAAAGGGCCAAAAGAAATGGTAATATTTTAAGATGTTTGGCACTCAGTAAATGTATTTTCAGTTCTTGCTGGTTGAATGAGTGAGTGAGAAATTACACGTGCCCTGAAAAGTGACATACGTGGACCATTCCTTCTTCCAGACTCTCTGTCTCCCGCAGATTAGGGTTGCTCGTTCTGGCCGACGAGGAGTGAGCAGAGGTGATGTGCATTTTCTGGCTGTCCCGTGGAGATGCTGGTGAGAGTCCCTCCAGAGGTCTCCCTCTCTTCCACCCCAGTGCCCTGCACAGGCCTGGTTTGCTTGGATCTAGGCCTCCATGCATTCTCTGCTTGACCCATGTTAGACACAGCCTGATGAGCAATTAACTTTTGCTGTTTTAAGCCACTGAACTTTGAGGCTACGTGTAGTGTCTCAGAGCATTGTTCTCCTGATCGATACAGCCTGCAAGGCGAAGACTGGAATCACAGCCTGGATTGACCGGGAGGGCCTGCCATGCTGGCAGGCGGGACATGGACGCCCTGATGCTGCACGCCTCCCTGCTAACCAGGTTCTTCCTGCAGGCCGTCCTGAGAGCTGCCCCCACACCGATCTCCTCACAAGCTTCTCCCATTGGCTGCACTGCTGTATGCATCTCTACGCTCTCTTTCCAGCACAGACTCCTCTCCCTGGCTCTCGGGGACCTCAACATTCGGGCCCTAACTCACCCTCCCAGGATTTCCAGATGTCTTCTTTCTGTTCTAGGCACAAGGAGCTCCTCCCTGGCCCCTGAGTGTGCCACCCCTTCCCCGCTCCTGGCCTGGATCATAGGCCTCCTCCTCCTCCTGCCCCCCTCACCCCCCCATGCTGCGGTCATCCTGATCTTTTCCTTCGCAGCCCGCAGGGACCTGCCCCCTGACCCCAGACCACCCAGTGCCCACACGCGATCAATCTTTGATTGTCTGGCTTTGTTATCTTTGCCTTCATTCCTCCCTGGTATCTAACATTCCTTGTGTTGGCGTCTTGACTCCCTAACTCGTCTCTACGGTTGAGGAATGGCCTTGGTGTTGCAATCCCTCACCCCGGCATCTAGGCGGTAACAGGCATTTGAGAAATAAGGGGTCCAAACACTGGCTGGCTCGCCGGCATGGGGCTCAGGAGTGGAAGGGGGAAAACCAGAGTGGAGTCATTGAGGACGGCTCCCTCCCTTCCATGGGCCAGTCCACACACCGCCCCCCCTCCCAGGCCAGACTCGCCGTCCACAGGCCAGGTGCACGTCTGGTCCCCCAAAGCATTGCATTCGAATCCAAAGAGCGCTGTCAGAGCAGTCCAGCTCCAGGCCCTGCTGTAATCCACTCTGGAGTCCGAGAAGCTCAGGATGTCCGGGCGGGATGAGCCAGGTAGCGAGCCTGCTTTGGAAGCTATGCTTACCAGGTGATGTGAGCTTTCAGCGGATCTGGAAGGAAGCAAGCGCGCTGGGAATGAGCTCCGGGGGGCAGAGGCATGCTCTGTGGAGGCCCCAGCCCGCAGAAAGCCCTGGGGGCTGGAGACTTTCCCAGGGGTGAGCAGGAGCACCAGAGAGGGTTAAAAACAAACAAACAAACAAAACTCAAAAATGCCCAAATCCAGAGCCATAGTCCACCAACTGCAACCCTTGTTCCTTGTTTCCAGCTCTCTGTTCTGCGGTGCGTGCCTACATCCCGTGGAGATGCCTTCTTGATGCACGTAGGATTTTTTAACTGCAGTTTTTCATGCAAGCATTCCCATTGGTTATTCCCATTTCATCTTCTCTTCTGGAGGCCCGAGGCTGACCCCTCCCCAACACTGTCCCATTCGCCCCCTCCACTCCTCAGGCTGGCCTGTGTGAACGAGATCACTGTGTATGCAGAACCCCTCTGTAACAAGTTGTGAGCGCTCGTGAACAGACAGATCTCAGGGGAAGAAGGTAGAGCATCGGTGACCTCGGAAAAGTCCACCCTCCCTGAGGCTCCAAGTGTGACTGTGGCCTCCCGCTCCCTGCACATTACCAGATGTTAGAATGACGGGTGGGGGCGTTCATCCTAAGACTTTGTAGGCAGCCTGGCACGTGCCTCCATCACAGGGGGCCGCATAAATGGGTCTTTTGGAAAAAAAAAACTACTTGTCAGGAGTTATCAAAGCATCCTGTTGACCTCGTATCCCTATTTAGGGAATGTATTTCTTTTTTTTTTTTTAACCTTTTTTTTTTTTTTTTAAAGATTTGATTTATTTATTTTGTGAGAGAGTGAGAGACAGAGAGCACGAGAGGGAGGAGGGTCAGAGGGAGAAGCAGACTCCCTGCCGAGCAGGGAGCCCGATGCGGGACTCGATCCCCGGACTCCAGGATCATGACCTGAGCCGAAGGCAGTCGCTTAACCGACTGAGCCACCCAGGCGCCCTAGGGAATGTATTTCAAACACACGCTCCAGGAGGGAAGGCGCTGGTTTGCAGGCAGGCGGTTCTTTTTTTTTTTTAAGATTTTATTTATTTATTTGACAGAGAGAGACACAGCAAGAGAGGGAACACAAGCAAGGGGAGTGGGAGAGGGAGAAGCAGGCCTCCCGCAGAACATGGAGCCCGATGCGGGGCTCGATCCCAGGACCCTGGGATCATGACCTGAGCCGAAGGCAGACGCCTAACGACTGAGCCACCTAGGTGCCCCAAGCAGGCGGTGTTTTGAAGCCGGGCACATTTAGGAGCAAAACTGGAAACCAAGTGGCACCCAGGGATACATGGTACTCGGCGCCACTGAATCTTTTCCAGGCACCTGAGGGATGGGAAGGAGGTATTCACTTTAAGGAGAGCGGTGACCATCATGTTGTGGCAGTCACACACAGCAATGTGTCCTTCCTGGATTATGGGAAGTTATAGAAAGAGAGCAGCTGTTTGTTGGAAAAATGAAGATTTGCCTACTTGGTGGCATAATAGGCGAGTTAGGATAGTTTCTTCCTCTTGTCTCTTCTCTTTTTGGTAACCTAGCTTATCTAGTTAAAAATGGATTCACTGCCACAACAGAAAAGACAAAGAAATATCTCTGTGGATTTGTAGGGCCCCAGGTGTCCAGGAGTGGGCACATAAAGACAGCCTGAAACGTCCCCTCTCTCAGGCTTGTGCCCAGGACAGCAGGGGCTCCCTGCAGGGAGGGGCGGGCGCTGTTTCCAGGTCTGAAGGCCCCGGGTGCCGCACCCAGTGAGGGTGAGGTGGGCTGCCGAGCGCTCAGCACAGTGCCTGGTATGAGCCTGAGCTCCCTGGAGGATATGCTCCTTCCTCCCAAGTGTGCCAAACGGTGTAGTTCATCATCATGCTTTTTGTCCTGCCCATGTCTCACTGAAACCTCTTCCTAAAGGTACCAACTGGGTAATGTCATAGTCCCCATTTTACAGACAAGAAAGCTGAGTCCTCGGTTGCCATCCAGTTGCTGCATTCCAAACTCAGGCTCTGCATACCTCTCCTCTGTAGGGCCTCTTTTTGTATCTGCTTTTGCAGTGGGGAAACTGAGGCTGTAAGTTACCTGCCAGAGGGCCCACAGCCAGTAACAATCAATCATGGGAACATGTATAGCTGGGTTTTCTGACTCCCAATCTGGTTGCTTGAATTGTTATGAAAGCCTCCTCTGTTCAAGGCATGTTATCTCTGGCCCCTGCAAGACCCCTGCCTTTCTTCTTGTTGGGTTCTGCCCGTTCCTTTCTTCTTGTTGGGTTCTGCCCGTTCCTTTCTTCTTGTTGGGTTCTGCCCGTTCCCTTCCCTTACGCTCCTCATTGGCGTCCACTCTGGTGCGTGTGCTGTGTGCCACACAGGTGGACCCGCTGTAGGGCCGTGATTGGGTATCTTTTAATTTAGACAAATGGGGTTCTGTTAGGGATCTCCTCCTCGTTCTGTACACGTAGCTCATCCGAGGGCTGCATCTGGCCTTCCCTTGCCGTCGGTCCTGCCCTGTTTACTCCTCTTGCCCCTGGAGATGGACAATAGGGAAGCCCAGCCAAGGTCTGTGATGACACCTCACACCTGTGCCCATAGGGACTGTGGGAGAGTTTCTCCGGTACGGACTCTGGGCGGGGATGGATGGATGAGTCATTGGGTATGCTCATATTTAATTTCACAAGTACTGCCAGATTGTTTTCCAGAATGACTGTACCAGTTTACACATCCACCGGGGCACTGTGCAGGGGTTTCTGTTTCCCCATATCCTCCCCAGCACCTGCTATTATCAGATGTCTCAGAAAGCTTGCATTTGATAGCCGAGCTATCAGCTCATCGGATTAGCATCTGCGTGATGCTCTTTTGTGCTGCAAACTTCACCTTATCACAACAGCATTTCATGCAGGAAGAGCATCCCAAAGGAAAAGGGGTTCCTGCTTACTGCAACTCTCGTATCTGGTCTTCGGGAACAAAATTTCCCCAGAAATCCCCAGTAGACTTCCCCTTCTGTCTCACTGGCCGGATGGGGCCCGGAGTCCTCCCTAGGCCAGTCTTTGACGGAGACACCAGGATGGCCACGGCCGCCATGTGCCTCTTCCAAGTACCTGCACAGACCTGGGAGCAGCTGAATCAGGAGGAAGAAAGCAGTTCGGCCACCAGTGGACTCTTGTTCCACCCCAGATCTTTAATTGTGCCAGTTTTTTGAGTCATGTTGCCTCTTCTGTACAAGGAGTCGTTCCCCCAACTCTGTGCAATTAGCCTATCGCAGAGACTTTCTAAAGCAATGAGTCAAACCAGCACATGGCCACTGCCTTGGGGATTCGATCCGTCCAACTCATTTTGGAATCTGCCGTTCTTCTTGCCAGGTGGACGTCAGACCTGTTCCCACGCTGGCTGCCCCAACTTAGGTTTCTGTGTGGGCTCCCCGTGGAAGAGCTCAGTATGGAGACTCTGGGGCAGGACACCAAAGCTCCTGCCTGTGCTGGGCTTCCGAGGCCAAAGGCCAGCTGAAGGCAGGTGGGGAGGGACACCTGTCAGGGAATAGTGCCACCTCAGGCAGCAGCTTCTCCTCAGCCACGTGCGTACTCAGTTACTACCCCCCGTGTTTCTGCCTAGCCAAAGAAATTAATGTCTAAGTGATACCTAATAGTTATAATTTATTGAGTACTTATTCTGGGTCAGATGATCTCACATAGCCCCCCTGACAGCCCTGTGAGAGCATTTCTGTTACAGTGAAAGCCCAGGCTCCAGCCAGACCACCTGTAGAAGGCCAGTGTGGCCTTGAGCAAGTTACTTCGCCTCTCTGTGCCTCAGCTTTCTCATTTGTACATGGAGAATAGTAATTGTATGTTGCAGGTACTGGATGACTTAGGAAATACAAAGTGCTTACTTAGAATAACACTGGCACAGTGGACACATAGAGTTCACATTTGATAAACATTAGCTGCCATTTCTAAAAATGAAGAAACCAGAGCGTCAGATCAGCTTACCAAATGTCAGACAGTGATGAGTAGCAAGGATACAATTTTTTTTTTTTTAAAGGATGCAGTTTGACCCGGGAGTTTCTGACTTGAAAGCTGGCCTTTTATCCGTCCAACTATACATCATCGTTAGTAGCTCTGTGGCTCAAAGGAACATTGCCGTTACTCTCCTTATCAGTAGAATAAATTTTCACCTGAAGACCCAGGGTTGCTTTTTGTAAAGAAACAGTCTCAAAAAAAAAAAAAAAGGAAGAAAAGAAACAGTGTCTAATCACCAGCCTTAAAGATAGAGTGTAATGCTTACAGCAGCAGGTAGATGGGCGGGTCATTGCTGGAAGGTGGCTGGGGAGACGGGGACGCGGGGACACGAGAGAAGCCTGTGCCCTGGGACAGCAAGGGTGTAACATTCAGTTCCCGGTTCTACCACAAAACCTCACTGGGCCTCAGTCTCCCCATCTTTAAATAGGGTTTCTATTCTGTTTCCTCCCAGTAAGGATTTAGGAAGTGCTTGGTAAACTGAGCATAATCAGTGCTGCATCTTCCAGAATTAGGATTCGACCTGTCACCTCCTATTTTGTCTCTTATCTCCATTCTCACGTACACACATTCACACAAAGTGTAAGCATTGTGTCCCCCCAACTCCATTTAGTCATGGGAAGTCTCTGGAAACCAGGGCTTTAGAATCCTCTAGAAGAGATTTGTCCTTGTCTAAGCCAAAATAACTGGAGTCAGGAGCCACTGGGATTTGGGTAGGGTGGGGTAGCTCTAGGGTCATTCGGTTTGGGGGAGCAAATAAGCAAGGTAGCTCTTTGCCACCCAGGACCTGCCCTTGCCAGATTTTTCCGCACGAGCATTTTCAGCTGTAGGTGTGCTGGGTGTGAGGGACCAAGCGCTAGGTCTGAACAAAGGATCGTAGGCTCAGCAGTGTGGCTTTAAGCAGAAGAGATAGCTTCGTGGCCTGAATATCCCGGGAGGACTTTTAAACCTAACCCTATATATATAACAGGAGACTCAACTTTCTTTTATTTTATTATTATTTTTTTAATTTCGATGTCCCTCCCTCTCTTTCCTTCTCTCCTTTTCTTCTTCCTTCTCTTCCTCTCTCAATTTCCAGTTCCCCAGCCCATAGGTCTCCCTTCCGGGAGGCAGTCAACGTCAAAAGAGTCTCGTCTGTGATTCTAGATGATCTGTGCAGAGACGGCAAAATCCCTATGTGTGTATACCATTTCTTTCTCTACTGTATGAGGTTGTTGTGTCTTAGAGCACACGAGCACTGTGATTTAGGCCACAGTCAGGGAAAAGAAGGCGGTCTGTTGTCTGTCCCATTTCTCCTGAGTCTCCAGGCCACCATTCCCCCTTGTCACTTACTAGTTGCTGCCATTGTCCTCTCTGTACTCGGGGCCTGTTCCTGAGCACACGTGATGACATGGGGACATCCGTGATGACATGACTCTGGATCCCAGGGTGGTCCCGCCCTGTTGGTGGAGAATCCCTTGGCTTCAGGAGGTCCTGGGCTCTGCCTTGATTTCCTTCTCTGCAGGCAGGAAGCAGGAAGACTGGATGACAATTTGGGAAGGTCTCCAGAAACATGCCCACCACAGGTGGCCCTCTGGGGACCCTGCTTGTCCCCCAAGGGCAGCTTTTAGATCACGTTCTGTTGACTTGGTCACCTGGTGCAGAACCACGCACCTGAAAGATGTCCAAAGCCATCGTTCCTCAAATTTGAGCCACACACCGATCTCCAGGGAACCCTTGTTAGATGCAGAATCTCGTCGAGTTAATCTCTGCAGTAATGGTGGGTTCCCAGGTGCCGCCAGTGCTGCTGGCCCACACACTGACCCATTTGGAGTAGCAAGGAAGCACCAAGTCTTCCTTCCAGCCCTGTTCACACCCCGTGCAGTACCGGATACTGTCTAGAGCACTACATCTTATAGATTCCAGCTTTGTCACTGGTTAGCTGTTAGTGGACATTATCACCTTTCATCTTCCTGACTCTCCAGAGGGTGCAGGTATTTGTGTGTGTGTGTGTGTGTGTGTGTGTATTTTTTTAGGTGAGAGAACTGCTCAGAGATGTTAAGTATCTCAGCAGGGGTCACACAGCTAAGGGACACAGAGGAACGTCCCAAGTGGTGGTCATTTTCCATCACTGCTGTCCTCCATGAGCCTATGTCTGGAATGGGGTGCATCTTTGCACTAGTGAACAGGTTGGATGGTGAGTGTCCTTTTCTCTTCTCTCCCTGTCTTTATCTCTGAGATTTTAACCCTGGCTTCTTATTTTCAGGAGACCAGAAAACACTTGACAGAGGTAACACTGACCCAGAGAGAATTGAATCCTTGTGCCCAGTGACTAGAAGACCCATGAACCTGGAAAAAGGAGCCTAGAAGATCACCATGTTTCCCCCACATAGGAGAACACCCACCCCCTCCCGCCCCGTGCCCATTACAGTGATTTGGTCACTGCCGAGTTATCTTCGTTTAATGTGGTTTTGACAGAATAGTTGGTCTGGAAATTTTATTTTCAATTAAACTTCCTTGTTGAACTACTTTGGTTTTGAAAGGATTCCATTAGGATGGATAATTATATAGCAGTTGCTACAAGGAGATATTTGCACTCAATTTCCGCTCTTAGGTGATTCAAATCAAAGGCTTCTTCTTTTCCTCCCCAGAGTTGTGTGCAACCATCTTCCTCATACTATAGGCTTCTCATGAGTTATTTTTGGAAATCCAAATCAAAACAGCCCTTTTGGCGGAGACCATCTCTAGCCTAGCAGAGTAAGCCATATGTACCAGTAAACACAGCCAAAGAATCGGTGCTTTTGAAAAGCACCAAAACCATCTCCCTCTTTGTGGATTAAATTCTTGGGGACCATAGACTATCCTTTGTATCATCATATATTCCTCTGTGAACTCTAAAGTCAAAGACAATTGAAATTCCTTTAAAATTACCAAAGTTTTGGGGTGCCTGGGTGGCTCAGTCGAGCATCCAACTCTTGGTTTCGGCTCAGGTCATGATCTCAGGGTCATGGGATTGAGCTGCACATGAGGCTCCAAACTCAGCGCTGAGTCTGCTTGGGATTCTCCCTCTCCTGCTCCCCCTGTTCACATGCTCTCTCTCTCTCTCTAAAATAAAAGTAAATAAAATCTTAAAAATATATACATATATATAAATAAAATTATCAAAGTTTTGTCCATTTGCAAATGATTGTCATTGCACTTTTATTCAAGATGGCAGGCCTTGACAGAATTTTACTAGGGACTGTTTTGGCCTCTGGATCTCCCATGAAACACAGAAATCCCTTTATTTTCCCACTCTGTACTGTTTCCTTCCTTCCCCAGAACACACGTAACCGACCTCATTACATGAACCAAGCAGACAAACCTCTCACCCAGTATCAGTAAGGGCTCATATAGTAGAATGGATACATAGATGAATGAATAAAATCCCATTTCCCCCTTTAAAAAAAAAAATTACACAAATAGTAAATGAATGTTTTCATCTTGGGGAAAAAAAAACTTTCCAAATAAAGCTAAAGTTCTTTTTAATCACTGGGTCCCTGTCCCTGTTTGTTCATCAGCTCTGCTTGGGTTATTACTTTGGAACACATCCTTGTGGACCTTTCTAATGTACTTGTATATGCACACACACACACACACACACACACACGTGTGCGTGTGCGCAAGCACATGGTGCTGTGTTTTAGACCTTTGATAAACTGACCACTTGCCTTTTGCCCCTCAGCAATATATCCAGGAGTTCTGTCCATATTAGCTGCCTTATTCTTTGTAACTGCCACCTAAGTTTTATTACATTGTGTGGATACGCCTTTTATTCAATCAAATACATAAATTCTTTATCTGTTCTCACGCTCATCGTAGTTCAAGATCCCTTCTCCTGTACATGTTAAGAAACTAACCATGTCCACTGCTACCTTTGGTAGCTACAACACATTTCATGAAAATCAGCCAGCTGCCTTGGAGATTATGCCGCACAGGATCCCGTGAAATGCTAAGGATTGCCAAAGGGACCTGAATTCCCTTGTCTGCAGAAGCCGGGGAGGTGCGCTGTGCACGGGCAATTCCACAGGTCCGCGTAGAGAGTGATGTTAGATACAGTGTTGGCTCTGCTCATAGCCAGCTGAATTTCCCTGGGCAGTTCATTTCCTCTCCATGGACCTTCATTTTCTCATCTGCACAATGGACTCAGTGAGCCTTTTCCAGCTATTAGACTCTGAATAATAGGGTTTACACAATGCCCCAGGATTCATATACGGAATGTATGAGCTGCTTCTCCACTATGCGTCTAGATGGGAGAGGGGCAATTTTAGAATACATTTTAAATTTAATTTTAATTAATTAAATATATTTTGTTATATTTTAATTAAAATATATTTAAAAAAATTTTTTTAAAGATTTTTTATTTATTTGAGAGAGCATGAGCAAGAGCGAGAGCACAGGAGGGGATGGGCAGAGGGAGAAGCAGACTCCCCACTGAGCAAGGAGCCCGACTCAGGGCTCGATCCCAGGACTCTGGGATCATGACCTGAGCTGAAGGCAAACACTTAACCAACTGAGCCACCCAGGTGCCCCAAAATATATTTTAAAATTTTAAATTAGAGATGGAGCCTAGAACTTTTAGCTGAGTAGAAGTCACAAAGTCCAGAATGTACCGCCTTTGGATCTTACTCTTCTTTCTGATTACTTTATTATCCAATTAAAATGTATGTATTTTTTCCCTTTGCTCTGTGCGACCTTTTTGTTCTGAGCAAGGCCATGTGGTGTTGGGGAAAGAGGTCATGGACCCCTGAGTTCTACTTCCAGGCTTATCTAGTTCCAGCTGTGTGATCTTAGACAAGTCACTAACCTCTGGATTTCCATCTGGTAATACTACGATTTCAAATTAGCCAGAAGTCTGCTTAAAAAAAAAAAAAAGGTAAAAACCACACTAACTTGTGTTTCATCTGACATTTCTGAGCCTCGTCACCTGCAGATAGTTCATCTTGTGAATTGATGGGACACCCTAAAAGGCCACCAAAACCCCTGAAATCACCTTTTCTCACATGAGAAGTGTGCAGCTGCCGTAGCCCCTGGTGAAGACCTTCAGTGGGTTCCCAGGGAGGCCCAGAGCCATGATTCATAAGTAGACTTTCCCCCCTGAGCCCCGAAGCTGGTGTTGATGTGTATCCCCTGCTTTGAGATGCAGGACCACACGGGTCACAGGGTGATTCACCCACAGGCCGGGTTTCTCTCGGGGTCCCAGTCAGGTTTTCCCACGTGGGGCGAGAATTCTGGCCCCTGGTCTTGTTACACATTGGTCTGGAGATAGTGTGATCGTGCAGGTGAAAGGTCGTGGTCCGTGGGTGTGAAAACTGTGTGGGTGCTGCAGCCCGCAGCGTCTCTGGGATTCGGTTTCCCTGCTCCCCACACTTTTTCACCCTCCTGTGAGCTTCTGTTTCTGAACATCCCTTGGGGTCCATGTCCCCTGGTTGAGCAGGTCTGTACGGGCTGAAGTCAGTCTGGGGAGCTCCTGGGGCCAGGAACGTCACCTCTTCCCGACCTCGGCTTCCTGCCCTGCTCTATCTTGAAGAGAGGAAATGAGACCCTGCAGCAGGTGCTCAACCCAAGCTACCTTCCTTCCCCTTTCCCTGGACAACAATTTTATAGGCTCTGAATCTGTAACAGTTTCCAAAAGCCTACCATAAATAGTGTTCACGTGAAGCAAAATGAAACAAAAAGGCAGCCGGGTGAACACTATCAGTATGATACATATCTTCACTTAGTGGGAAAAGGGACTGATGGGTCCTATTCCTTTACCAACCCTCACTCTCTCACAGTGAAATTTTTCAGCAGGTGTCTTCCCCGTCCCACTCCTACCCCCCATTTCAATAAAATACTTACAAACCTGCTTTGCATTGTTACAGATAAATGCAGAGCAAGTCACACTGTCTCTCCCTATATTTGACCCTCCTCCAAGTGATCGATATAGTTTTAATTCACAGCCTAGAACCTTGAAGAATGAGTCAACCTGACCGATGATTCACAGATACTTGATCTGAAATGCTTGATGTTGTGGGGGTGGGGTGGGAGGTAGAATCAGAAATAAATTTCCTGACCCTAAAAGTCAGCATAAGTGAAGAAGCATGGGGTGCAGGGGGGGTGGGGGAAAGGGATAGTTACCGTCTTGTAGTTTGTAGGGATGGTTCCTGCCTTTGGGGAGATGCACTGTGTTGGGAGGACTTAGGGTGACCACAGAGCTCCAGTTTATGCCTGTCTATACAGTTAGTGTGCTTTTCCACCATTAAAAGTACCGCAGTGTGGAAACATGGGGTTCTGGGCAGACTGGACTAGAAGTTCTTAAATCAAGGTCAGAGGTTTTACTTTATTTATACGTGCATCCCCAGTGCCTGGCCTCTAGTAAACAGTTAGTAAATATAGCCTTGCTGGGTAGGTGAGTGAGTGAATAAGATTCTTAACCTTCTCTCTTGGTCTCTGTATTTCTATTTTCCATACATCTTTGTATGCTCCGCATCCCTAGGGTGACTGTACTGTGTTCTCAATAGTATCTTTTCCACTAAGCCAGAGCTTCAGATGCCAGTTGCTTTGGTTGACCCTATGCAGCAGAAGCTGTGTAGTCCTGTAACTTTCAGTGAGTTACCCAAATGATTTACAATTTATCGGAGTAGGAAGAACACTAACTTCCCTGCCTAAGCTGATGAGCAACTGTGGTGGAACTGAAGCTGATGCTTTTATTATTAGCTGTCTGGCTTTGCTACCATTCTTGTCTAGAGGGTTTTCTTCCCTACCTAGAGGGTTCCTAGACCTTCAAAACTATATATTATAATTATATATTTAAAATATTATAAGAAATTAGAAAAAGAATAAAAAAAGCTATCCATAATAATTTCATTATCAAGACACTATAAGCCATTTGTGTTGTTTTACATAGTTATCTTAGGAAGTTCTTCATCGTTTCCCCGTGGGCATTTTTCTGGAAGCATTGTCCATGTTCAGAACATTTTCAACCACCATTGTTTAATTTGCTTGTATCCATGTGTTTTAGTGAGCAAATCCAGGTTGCTTACTCTTTCCCCTTCTGTAAATGAACTTGTCCTTCTAGTATGTCCTGTATCTCAAGAGAATCTCAAAAGTGGAATCCTTGGATCAAAATACATGAAATTTATTAAACTATATATATATCTGCCTAACAATATAGATAGATATATTTAAATTGATAGACTTTATTGTTTAGAGAAATTTTAGGTTTATAAAAAAAATTGAGGGGCGCCTGGGTGGCTCAGTTGGTTAAGCGACCGCCCTCGGCTCAGGTCATGATCCTGGAGTCCCAGGATCGAGTCCCGCATCGGGCTCCCTGCTCAGTGGGGGGTCTGCTTCCCCCTCTGCCCTCTTCCCTCTCGTGCTCTCTGTCTCTCATTCTCTCTCTCTCGGAGTCCCGGGATCGAGTCCCACATCAGGCTCCCTGCTCGGCAGGGAG